CAGCAGTTTAATGTAGAACTGTGTTCATTGTGCACTAAGAATGAATGAAGTCACTGTCATGGCATATTAAGGTCCTATCATTTTCAAGCACAATATTAATATCACCCATAAAGGATATCAGAGCATATTTATAATTGACCAATGTCAAATCATTTAAGTTGGCAAATTATTAAATGAAATATAGCCAATTCTGGAAAAGGTCACAATATGTAAGATTTGATGCTGCCTTCATTCCATTAATTATTACGATTCTTATGAAAAGGCTTTTTGACAGTTAAAAAAAAAAATACTGTATACATCTTTAAAATTCCTCGTCAGGAAAACATGTTGACACACTCTTGACTGCACGTTATCAATAGCGTATAAAGTGATACACAAGTTAGGGAAGGCAACTTTATTATCACTCGCGTTCGTCCGGGTTCAGGACGATCGCGTCCCCTCCTTTGTTAGCAGAACGCGACTGTCCTTAACGCGTAAGGTATGGTGGATTAAAACCTTCTCCATTCATCGCGTACCCTCCTTTGTTTAGAGAACGCGAGCGTCCCAAACGCGTACCCAATGAAAGGGGCAAGAATGGGGGGATTATCTTACATAATATTACATAATTCTTGAGAGGAATAGGGTTTCTATTTGTCGCGCTAAGAGGGGCAAGAACTCGTTTAATCACCTTGCCAGTAAAATTCCTTCCTTCTAGCGATCGGAAGGCTTTCCCCATTTTAAATGAAATGTAAATGAAATGAAAATTGTGTGAATCGCAATCGATGCAGAGGTCCGTTGTTTGAGGTTGAGAGAGAGAGGGAGAGAGAGGTAGAGGGACGTAGACATGCATGTTTTGTTCTTTGAAATATTTACTCTACGAGACTGTTATGTATTTTTATATGTCATCTTTTGTCATCATTTTGGACGTTTGGTCTTATGAAAACTGATTTTGAATGAATGATACTACGCCGCGGCCGCCTTGTAGCGACCAGCAGCGCTAGAACAATTTCTAATTTGCATACCCTGTGCCGCCCATTGAGCTGGGAAGATAATAGACATTCTGACATTTCTATCGATCTTTTCGTGGGTGCAATGAAAAGGTGCAATGAAAAGGCACAAATGAAGTAGAAAGTTGGATTGATAACCGTATCTTGGAAATGTTGTAATCAACACCCAAGTTCAGACAGACCGCGATATTTAAGATTGTCAGCCTACGCCTTTGTTCTGAGAGCGCCGACTTGTGGCGGGAATGTCATAATAAATCTGTCATTATTTGTATGTCGTTGTTGCGACTGGACAATGGTGAGGAGAATTTTTGTTCCGATAACAAAAACAGATCCAACAATTCCCCTTTTTAATTCGGGAATACACCTTGAAACTCTCTCTCTCTCGATAGTAGTAAATCCATCTGTATCTCAAATCAACACTAGGCGTGTCTGCACTATCTCGAGATTGCCAAATATCCAGCTATTTGAACTATCCCGATCGCAAACTATCCAGCTAATTTGCGTCTTCATTAGAACGAAGTAGCAAATTAGCTGGATAGTTGGTCGGGATAATATGCCAAGATATCTCAGTCTAGTTTGCGGTTTTCCGTGTTTACTCGTGGTCAGTGGTTGTACTAGCGCGCTGAGCGGTATAGATCGCATGTGCGAACCGGAAATCGTTGTGCATGATGGGATCGGGATATTTGACTCCGGACTTCGGTCTAATGAAAACGGTCGCAAACTATCCCGCTAGTTCGGAAATAGTGGGATATTTTGCAAACTAGACCGAAATATCTTGGGATATTATCCCGACCAACTATCCAGCTAATTTGCTACTTCGTTCTAATGAAGACGCAAATAGCTGGATAGTTTGCGATCGGGATAGTTCAAATAGCTGGATATTTGGCAATCTCGAGATAGTGAAGACGGGCCTACTATTTCCTTTCTTATCTGTTATCTTTCTCTCCAGGCCCTCTCTACGACCCTTTTTTGTTAGCCCTCTCTCCCTCTCTCTCATCCAGTCACCTTTCTAATCTCTCTCTACCACTATCTCTCTACCTCTTACCACTATCTCTCTTTCTTTAATCAACACTTTCTTTAGCTAGTGCGTCCCATGAGAAAACGAAACGGAGAATTATCGATGTTTTATGATAACTTAATCAAAATCATAATAAATATAAGACACATATTTGTACAGGAATAACAAAGTTCCGTTTGTTTAAAGTAATGCTTGCATTTCCATAATTTCCATAACTCTGTTGCTACGGCAGGCAGCCAGTGAAAACGAATTCGTTTAATCAAATTATGAAAGTGCAAGCATTACTTTAAACAAACAGAAATTTGTTATTCCTGGCTCATTTTTCCTGATTGAGCCGAGGTTTAATTTATGAAAGGGCAGAAAGTGAACTTACCAAAGGATCATGTCTTCAAATTGTTTTTTAATCGCTCATTCGTGAAATATGCATTATATGAGTTGCATCAAATGAAAGAAGAGGATCTAAGCTTTACAAATATGTGTCATTTATTCATTATAACTATTGTCGATTGCTTATCTGAAATGAGGCGTCATGTCAATCAACACCAAAGTTCCAAAACATCGCGTATATTTAACATCGTTACGCGCCTTTGTTCTGAGAGCGGGAATGTCATAATAAATCTGTCATTCTTTGTTTCCCGTTGTGACTAGACTACGATAAAGAGCAATGCCATGCGGCCTAGCCCTTTCATGTTTGCGCGCTCTCCATCATACATTTCCCTCTCTTTCTCTATCTCTCTCTCTTGCGCTGTCTCTTTCGTGAAGTTATCTCCTCCTCCCCCCCCCCCCCTTTCCCCTGAAAAGATGAGCGTGGGAAAACCTCTCTCACGCTCTCTTCTCTGTCACATTCACTTGAGTTCATTCACTTGGCCCATAAATGGCTTTGTTTTTGTTTACATTAGCTCAGAGGCGGCTTCATGAGTCATGAATGAACTGACTAGTATGTCTGGTTACTAAGCAACTATGCAGTCAATCAAAATGTTCAAATTCATTTGTGGCTGCATGTTTTTATATCGGGCAATAAAAAAAGCTCAAAATTTTGATATTTAACAATCATATAGTGAGATCCTACTCAAACTCGTGAATTTCTCATTTTTAAAGAACAATTTCCAGCAAATTAAAAATATGAACTGGCCATGTTAATGACGCGGGCGTACAAACACGTCGACAGCTCTTCTTATTTTTGGTGTCTCGGAGTCGACGGGTGTATATGTCATTTTGAGGCAGAGAATTTGAGTACCGCAATTTTGTGAAAATAAGAAAATGCAATATTGTTTTTAATATAAGGAAAATAATTACAGCTTTAAATACATGACTTGGTCTAGCTCGATAAAAATCAAACAACTATGATCATATTCATTTTTTTTTCTTCGTAACATTGGATAACAAATTTCACAAATTCCAACATACTATAAATATTGATAATTGAGATTATTTAGTGCAAGGGTAAATATGACAATGACCCGGAACATAATAAAGGGATAACAATTAATCAAATTACTCTTAATACTTGTAAACGTTTTTTTTTTTTTTTTTTTTTTAGGGGGGCGGGGTCAAATTTTCCCTAGTGTCGCGCCACGCCTTTTTAATTTCTTGGCGAGAGGCCTGATTATGCATAGAATAAAAAAAAATCAACAAAAGGGAAAAGTAAAACAACAGGGAGGCAAAGTTACATCTACATCTTCACTTGTAGGTAGTACATGCAATGTAAATCCTAATTTTGATTTCTATATTTATTTTGTAAAAACACTGAATTTTCTGCTGTGATTTTACATAAAACTCAGACTTCACAGAGCTGCCAAGCAGAACGTTTTTAACGTATTTATACGGGTTTTTTAGGTTTGGCTGTGCGAACGTGGCTACAGGTTGGCTGTGAGAACGAGCGTATGCATAGTTGTGCCAATGTTTCGTGTTGGCAATTCCTGTGGCGCGCACGCATGCACATTACACACAACACAGGGGATGTACACCACTCAAAGACGTGCGCATCACCCCAGGCTATGCATACACACATACATGCATCCGATCGTGATATCAAACCAGCATCCACAACACACGCAAATTACATATCAGTGCACTGCACTACACACAGCGTCACTCACTAGTACAAGGAAATCCCGATGTCACTTCCAAAAATCCACCCCAAAAGCCAAATTTTGCTGTCAAAAGTGCGGAATCGGAGCCATATTTCCAAAGCATGCGGTGGCTTAGCCAAATTTTAAAAACGGCTTCGCCAAAAAAAGCGCTTAAAATCAAGAAATCAGAGATTTTGTAACGATTTTTTTGGCTTATCGCAAGCGCCCTTCGAGGGCCTTCGAGTGTGCTGCGTCTTTACCAGCGCTGTCGGGCTCAGATCACGTGACCGCATTTTAGGGGGCTATCCACATGTTGTGATTTGCGCGAATTGCTAATCCACGCAATGCAGTACTGATTAATAGGTTGGGGAATACAGACACTACTAAATATGATTTATATATTTGCAGTGTCGCAGAAGCTTTTACTCATATGCAGCTGTATGTAGAAAGACTTGAGGCGTTGCTGGTTAGGTTTATTATTTCAGCGCGCGACACATTTTTGGGACAAATTATTATCAATCAACCCGGGGGATTGCAGCTCTAGGTCTGCTTTCAAGACTGAAAATTCATCTATGAAAATCTACTATCGTATTCTAAACGCGAGCTAGACGGGTGCTACTATTGTCAGGGAACACCAGATTAACGCGTTCTAGACGGGTCAGCTATTGTCAGGGGACGCCAGATTAGAAAGGATTAGAGAGGGGCTGGATAGCGGTGAGGTTGATTGACAGCGGTCCTAGCGGACGGGATGGCTTCTTTTCTGGCTGCCTGCTCTATTGTCCAACAGACAACAATAGACGCGAGCAAGGGACGCCAAGGGACCGCCAGCGTACAATACGCGTCCGGGAACGGGGGATTAAGAGATAAGTAGGCGTCCCGAACCCGGACGAACGCGAGTGATAATAAAGTTGCCTTCCCTTATTCATATCACCATGAAAAAAAAAAACATAACTCACCATATGAAGTATTCCAACACAAAATCAAAATGTCTCGTAGGCACGTACTAGATTCTCCAGAATGTAGATCGTCAGTCCTCCCAAATTAAGAATCCTATTCTAGGTGTTTCAACAACACCACAAGGTTACAATCTGTACCGGAATAGAATAAAGATATAAAAAATGTTGTCAAGTGTCAGCGTTCTGATCAATTCACTGCTTCGCAAATTGCTCTTGTACAAACAAATAATTCATACAAAGAAGACCTTCTAGTTCTACCGAGAGATGAGAGCAGTATGAAGCCAGAAAGTCAAGTGTGTCGACTCATTGTGGTGAAGCCGCATTCCTACGCTGCCGAGTGGTTATTTGGATAATGCACCATTTAGTACAATGAAGCAGTTGACGAGGAGATGGGTCGGCCTGCAATAACAGACCAACTTGTCTCCAACTCGTCTCCAAGAACAAGGAACTATTTTCACTTTGACAAACTGCTATAGTCTAGCTTTCTGACCTGTGCAGATTGAGCCGTTAAAAGTAAACCCTGTGATAAAAATGAGCACCAGCAACACCAATAAAATCTCTTCTATCATGCAGAAGGCTGGTTAAATTTGTTTTAATCAAAGGCAATCCAGACCCATCCAACACTGCTCTCGATTAAAAACAGCAAAATTTGATGATCTATTTCTGCAAATAACCTGGGCCCCATTCACAAAATTTGTCATCGGTGACAAATGACAGTTTTGTTGTAAGCTAGAGAAATCCTTGCTTCTGATTGGTTAATAGTGGGATTTGTCACTGATCTTAATCATTTGTCCTTGAAAAAAAGGCTTTGTGAAACGGGTCCCAGGTATTGATATGAAGAGGACCTACAGCGTGTCCACACACAAAACAATTTATCGCGAAACTCTATAACGATACGTCGTATAAAGAATCATCGTATAAATTCCAGGATGTCCACACACAAGAAACGTCGTCACTAAAGAATCATCGTATAAAATGCCCCCTGTCCACACACAACATTTTCCGTGATTCTTTATAGAGTTTCGCGATAGTGATAAGAGGTCTGGTCTCATTTCGCTCGAGGTCACGTTAAGCCCCGCCCAGTTAGTTACACTAGTTACACTCCCCCCAGGGGGTCCCCCTGTCCACACACAACATTTCCGTGATTAGGCGTGATTCTTTATTGAGTTTCAGTTCGAAACGATGCCCAAACCTGCGTTTCGTTAGACTAGTTTCGTTATACGACGTATCGTTAGTGAGCGTCCACACCTACAATTTTGGTCGTAAAACTATCGCGAAACGGTATCACTATCGCGAAACGGTATAGCTAATCATGATTAGTCACGGAAAATGTTGTGTGTGGACAGGGGGATCGTTGAACGAGACTAGACAGCCCAACGGCTGACACCAGTCTATAAATAGAATCATTTCACCTTGATGACCTTTGTCCTTACAGTGTCCTCGTGCCAAGGCAGTCATTATCATTGTTTACATTTATCCATCATACTCAGGTGCAAACTTTTCACCCCCATCCCACATTCTGGAGTTGCAAGTTGTAACATTCCATTCTATTATCACCTGTCTGCTGAGAGCCAGAAGGGTCTTAACTTGTGTAATACACTATGGATTAATATCCTTCTACCTCTCAATGAACGATATGTAGCCCCCCCCCCCCCCTCTCTCTCTCTCTCTCTCTCTCTCTCTCTCTCTCTCTCTCTCTCTTTATCCTCTCTGTTTTCTTCTTCCATTTCTTGATCAACCCCCTCCCTACCTTTTTGTCTCCCTTTTCGCTCTGTCTGTCTTTCTCTGTCTGTCTGTTTTCTTCTCCCCTTTCTTGATCAACCCCCTCCCTACCTTTCTGTGCCCCTTTCGCTCTGTCCGTCTCTCCTTCAATGTTTCTCTGTCTCTGTCTCTCTCTCTCTCTCTCTCTGTCTCTCTCTCTGTCGGTCTCTCTTAAATATTCTGTTTCTGTCTATCTCTCTCTGTCTCTGTCTGGCTCTCTCTCTCTCTCTCTCTCTGTCTGTGTCTCTTCCCTTTCTTGATCAACCCCCTCCCTAACTTTCTGTCTGTCTCTCTCTCCTTCTATGTTTCTCTGTCTGTCTGTCTCTGTGTGTGTCTCTCTCTGTCTCTGTCTCTCTTTCTCTCCGTCTATCTCTCATATGTTTCTGTCTCTGTCTATCTCTCTCTGTCTGTCTGTCTGTCTCTCTCTCTGTCTCTCTGTCTCTCCCCTTTCTTGATCAACCCCCTCCCTACCTTTCTGTCTCTCTTTTCTCTCTGTCTCTTTCTGTCTCTGTCTCTCTCTCTCCGTCTCTCTCCCTCTTCAATTCTCTGTCTCACTCTCCGTCAGCCCACACACGAGAAGAAAATGTGTGTGTTCTTCCTATTATTTGCCAACTCGATTACGGTGTGAATTTTAATCTGTGCTCCATCACGTTCCTCATCGTAAATCACACTACCATCTCAAAACGCACCAGTGATATCATCAAAACCACCCTCTCATCTGTCTGTCCGTCTTTATCTCATTTCTAGCTGCATTCTAAGATGTTTACTTCAGATGAAATCAGGCTTTCAATAAAGAACTCTGCTCAAAACATGTTTGCGATCATCAAAATTGGACCCTGTCCAGACCGCACCAAATTCTGTTGCCCAATGCCTAGAAAGAACCGAAATATAATGGCAGTACAGAGTTTCTTGGAAATAGTCATTAGTTTTGATATTACATAATCATAAGCATGCAAAATATTTCAATTACTTCTTTTAATGCTTATCTGTACTAATTTATAGAAGAGATGAGACCACCCTGCAAGGTCACTGGACAGGTGGTTATCTCATCAACTCAGCTCTCAATTAACATAAGAAAAAGAGGATCATGGGGGACCAATGGTCACCGATTAGGCATTGTTTTCTATATAGAGGGAGCAAATAGCTACAAGTAGGACAGTGTGGCTTTAAGTTGTAGGGAAGAGAAAGACATGTTTGGGCAGTATTTCAACTGAAGTGATACAATGCCTTGTAGCGTTCTACAGTCATTACTATAAATGTTCTTTTTTCTATCAGTTGATTACATGTGTACATGCCTGATTATTGCAATTTGAATCATATTTGATCCAGAAAAAAACATATTCTCCTCAGTATTCAGAGCAAGACTGTTTTCTGATAAAAAAATCTTCTATAAAACCTGTTGTATTTGCCAAATACAAAATACACAGACAGGAAAGCCTAGATAGAACTTGCGGACGGTTAAAAAGAAACCTTGAATAATTCCTCCTATTGCTGTACATGCGGTAGGTAGGTTGGAGTGCGATGTAATGATCAGGACATGAGCTAATATTCTCCATGGACATTGTCAGGTAATTCATTATGGACAGGTTTGCCGAGAAGACGTCTACTCGACTAAATAATTTAAGGGAGCTATCAGTCCGGGATAAAGGTTGGCTCCCATCAAGTAAGATGATGCATTTTGGATGTTTCATGTGGGTTTCTTGAAGTCTCTTGAGAGAATTGAAAAGAGCATCTAAAATGTCACAAACCCTCTGGCCGATTCTACAAAGAGTACACAAGCCCACTCTGATGGACGGATAAAATCTCAAAGATTTTTGACGCACGTCACAAAACTGTTATTATTGCAGGAATATCTCTACCTTGGAGGTGCTTTTTTTATATTAAAAAAGTTCTTCAGGTTAAACAAAAATTTAGGGGCTCGAGGTAAGGTTAAGGAGACCCCCCCCCCCCCATGAATAAATGAGGGGGTTGTTAGTAGGATGTAACGCATAATTGATGAATACACTTGCCAAGAAATAATTATCTCTTCCTTTGTTTTTCAAAATGTCTACACCTTCACTCAAGTTTCTGCAAGCATTCTTTTTAGTAAAATCACTTAATTCATTATCTTTAAAAAATGAAAGTTTATTTCAAATACTATAACCCTCTCTGTTCCTCTTTTCAAATCTCTCTCTCTCTCTTTCAATTCTTTCTCATCTCTCCTCTCTTCTCTCACTCTCTCTCTCTCTCTCTTTCTCTCTCTCTCTGTCACATACACACACTCACTCTCCAATTTCTCTCTTGCTCTCTCTCCTTAATTTCTCTACTCCTTTCTACCTCCTTAAGTCTCGTCTCCTCTCATCTTTCACTCCTATCTCTCCCCCTCTTTCCCTCTAGGATCCATCGCAAATCAATCCCTTCCATGATGTAACAAAAGAAGACAAGAGGAATACAAGAAAAGTGTCTACCTGTGATTGACTACTGAATGTCAAGATCAAATCGATCCATCAGAAAGGGAGAGTGTGTTTACAGCGATCACCCCCTTACCATGGAACCACTTTGATTCATGGCTTTCTACAACTAAGTGCTTCTCGTTCTCCATCTTCTACGGAAAGTATCCGTCTTTGGACGTGTTCATACACTCAACACTTCATCTAACCGACACCACTCTGGGCCACACAGTCCTCCAAAAGAACCTAAAGAACCTGAAGAGATTGAAGGAATGTGTCTTCTAAGATAATGTGCTTCTCTCATCACAAAGTTAGCGTGGATGTGTCTGGAGAGGACATTTCGCTGACCAAACCATACAGATGCATATACAGAAGATTTGCCATCTGAAATGAGATCTACCTGTTCATTCAATGCAAATATAATGAGAACTTGTGATGTGTCTTTGAACAAGAGAATTTCTTCCCCCTAAAATTTGTGTGGGTGTATCCATAGAGGCATTTCAATTGCATTTGGAACCAAACATTGTTTGTTCGATGTCACATGCTGTCTCTTGAAAGTGGGTCCAGATGAGGCTGGGGAGATGAAACAAATCTTTACTTTGAACGATACTTTCGAAATGTGGTTTGAATCAGTGACTCTTGTCGTTCATTCCATCCATTTCAGACAACGTCTATCAAGAGTATGTGTGGATCAAAATGTGGATTGAGAAGTCTGAATACCTACCGTACTTCATGGGCTCAACAAGACTGAGAAGAGGCTATATAATTCTTATCTAACTTTAGCATATTAAATAGAATGCATTTCATGTTCTGAGTATCTCACACTATGTAAGGCCATTTAAAAAAATATACATATTTAGTGTCCCCGCCCGCTTCCTTTTGGGGGGCCGCCTCCTATTTTTTTTTTTCTTTTTTTTGAAATTTTGAAATTTAAAAGAAAAA